TAATAAATTACGTAATACTCTGTAATAAATTGCGTAATACTCTGTAATAAATTGCGTAATATTACGTAATAAATTGCGCAATATTATGTCCAGACCATAATTCTTGCGCAATATTACAGGCCGTAATATCTTACGTAAGATTACGTTTATATAATTTGCTGATGTACAAAGGGCTAAAAACTAAGTTAACATAATGTCTTAACTCTTGGTTATTCAGGAAAGTAACCAACCAGTTATCCACTCAATAGCATTGAAAGATTTTGATTGATTGTATAAACTTTTGTGATCAGGAAATAATGTTATACCTTATATCTCAGCTTTGGGCGAAAATTTATTCGAACCTGTATGGAATTAAACATCCAAATTCCTTGTACAGTGATATATTTATTCTATTGCTTCATTGTATATAGGTGAGCGTTTATACTCCAAGACACATGTTTTTTGATATTGTTTTAAAATTATCTAATCATGGAGATTTTTAATAATTTTAAAAATCCTCTTTTCAAAGAATTTATTATTGAAAATTACTCATGCGACAACTCAAATGGTTATGGATTACGGGCCACAGGAAGAGAAATCAGCAGTATTAAAAATGTGTTTTTGAACATGAATTATGTACCGCGACTATTACTTTGATTGACAACTATGTTAGGGTTGTGGTTTCTCTTATTTCATCACCACACCTTGTGAAGATTGGAACGAGCTTGAATATAGTTGTTAGACAAAACCTTTTTTGCTTGTCTTTTATTCAAGTCAATTTAGCCAATATACATAATTATTTTTTAATCGAAACACTGAAATATGTAAAATAATCTATGCTTATTATTAATTTCTTATTTGTGATGATTTGCTTAAGTTTCTTATCGTTATTAAAATTAATCTAAGTATGAATTGTATATTTTAAATTTTTGCCCCTTATAAATATAAAATGTTAAAAGCCAAGGTGCCTTTACTTACATTTGTTTAAAATTTTTATAAATTTTCTGGTTTTGTAATTTATTTTTTATCCACATTATCTTCAATGAGTTTCTACAACATTTATCTGCTTCTTCATCTTTTATTAGTTTTGTTACTCTTTGCAATTTCGTTAGTTTCATTACCTTTCGTCACCTTTCGCTAGTTTCGATACCTTTTGACACCTTTTGTCAGTTTCGAATATTTCGTAATTTGAGATTTTAATTGATGTAAGTCAAAACTAGGTTTCGACTTTCGTCAGCGCGAAACCTCAAGGTTTCGTCTAACAACTATGCTTGCAATGAAATAGTCCAAAATTAAGATGGCAGTCAGAGCGGAAATATTTATTAGTCTAAATATTACATTTAATATAAACAATTATCATGTATAATCTATCACTTTAATGAGGATTTGAATTTTATTACTTATTATTCTCGTTTTAAAAATTGTTGATTACGGGTTTTTCGCTATTATTTTTGTGCTTAATTGAAATTGTAGAATGTTTGTAACTTAATCATGTAATGGAATAAAACTTATAATATGATCTAAAATTCTAATTATTAGACCATGCAAAATTAATTTATTGGGTTTCATAACCTGGCCGGTCAAAATTTAAAAACTTCTAAAAAAAATTTTCTATATGCTTTAATAACTGGGTGTGTTTTAAAATTTTTTTTTAAAAAAGCTGGTTGGCCGGGTCCATTTAAAAGTTTTATGTTATAAAAACCAAGTAATTAAATTTGTATAGCCTTATAGTACCACACTAAATTTTTCTACCCATGTAATATTTATCAATCAAATTTCAAAATCAAGTGATCAAGTGCAAATATATCTTATTTAAGACCCTAGCGTCACCAACTTAAAAAACTTCGCTAAAAAAGCTTCACAGTTAAATTGGAGTCTGGTATTAAGTTAGGTTAGAAAGATGCTCTATTATTATCAAAATTTCACAAGGAAAGCAGTTTCATAGATAAAATGTTGAGTTATGACCACAATTTTTTTGGATTGTTTTGATTTTTTGCGCTTCTGCATTATATATGATCTTGAAATCCGACTTGCAGACGAAATAGTAGCGAAATTTTTTATGATGGTGATGCTAGGTGCTTTACATCCGAACTTTGACTTTGATTTTAATTGTACCAAGATAATAATAAAATAGCAGACTTGATAGTCTATAACTAGAGATGTAATTTTGTAATTTTGAACATATTGATATTAGTTTCTGAAATCAAATTTTTGATTTCAGGAGTTACAATTCGATTTAATCAAATGTTGGCTGATCTTTTGTAAAGCTGGCATTTTATATATAACATGACTATGACTGAAGCTTACGTAAAATTACATGTATCATAAAAATAACACAGAATAACATTTCGCTAGTGTTGTGTTTAAAGTAATTTTTAGAATTAAGATAACTCTCAGTAAATTTACTGGGTTTGTGAATAGAAAATCATTGATCATCAAAGTTTGTAGCGAAAGATTCTTAAATTTTTTCTTTTTTACTGTTCGGCAAGGACACGGAAATTGTGATTTAGTGTGAATCGCATAATTTTACATCATACTTATATTCTCTGATTAAAAAATTGTGTATTAATTTATTCTCTGATTAAAAAAATTGCAAATTAACTTGCTAGTTGAGCGCAGTATTTAAAAAATTGTTTTTTTTTTACAAGTAAAATTTGAAAAAACACTAAACCGCACTTTTAAATTTTAATTATCAGTAAATCGCATATATTACACATACCGCATGCATAATTTACAATTATTATTGCTCATCATATGCCCCTTCCTCGCACATAACAGTCGTGACCAACCAATCTTAAACCTAAGGTCACATCCTCTCAAGTGTCATCATATCTACATAGTACAATATGGGATAAGGTTGCCAAACAAGCTGCAGGAGGTCACGTGAGCAGACTTTTTCGAGCATCGCTTACTTTCTTTTTTCTTCTTTTTTCTTTTTTGGGAGTGGTGGGAGAGATAGCTTAACATACTGTCGAGCAGAAAATTCAAACGACAAAGATGACAATAGATCATCAGGTTAATCAAATACCATTTCCGTCATGAACAAGTCCTGTGACTCATTTGTCACATGGAATGTCCAGTGACTCGCAATAATGTACCGCCTTGTGACTCTGTTCACAAGCAGATCAATTCTTATCGCATAAATTCCATTTGGCCAAGGTTATTTCTGCAGATCCCTAGTTATGATAGAATTTTTCATAAACAAGGTATAATTGAAAGTCTGATAACAGGTTTTCTATTAACAGCACTCATATATTTAAAGTTTAAAAAAAGATTTATGTATACTTTTACAAAAATTAAATTTAAGTGATTTTTTTACATATAGAATCGACTCATTTGATTTATAAATAACAGCAATGCAAACTCTTATATATGGACATGTCCTATGACTGTTAATCTTACAACTAATTAGTGCTCGGCAAAATCAAACAAAAACTCAATCATCGAGTTTTTGAATCTATCGATTTATAGTATTGTGCTTCAATTATAAAATCCATGTTTACTCTAATCTGACTTTAAACTTCATGTTAGTTACCACGAAGTCTAAAGTAAGATTGGATTCCTGTTAGATTTATATATAAACTATAAATAAATATTTGTATTTAATGCACAATATTGTAAATTGATAGATTCAAAAACTCGATAATCGAGTTTTTGTTCGATTTTGCTGAGCACTACAACTAATACTTGGCAGAGAAATTTTAAGATTAATCTTAAATTATCAAAATCAAAAAATTAGGTAATTTATTGAGCCATGCATTTTATAAAATACGTATTTATTCAAAAAATACAATTAGTTTATAACAGTTTTTTTAAAAGAAAAATACATAAATACAGTTCAAATTGTCTCTATGCCAACTCTAATTCGTTATAATAAAGGATTAAAATTTACGATTCTTCAGAAACTTTTGGTTGCTTCTTCCATAATGCAGTTAGAATAGTACTCTTACGTTTGTCACCTGAAAGCTGAGAGGTATTCATTGTAGATCTTGAGGACATTATTTGAGCTATTACCGCCTTCGTTCTTGAACGAGGTGTTTTAATCTGAGTGCTACCATCTTCTTCTATTAGTAACTTGATATTACTTGAAGTACTTTTATGCCTAGAAGTTTGTGGTGTTGTTCGTTCGTTGTGCAGCATGTGATGACTGATTTTTCGATTATTCGGTTGCTCTACTTCTTATTCTTCTTCAGATGAAGTAACAATAAATTTTCTTTTAACGCGTTTTTTTTTTCGTTTTCTTCTCTATCGGATGTAGAAGTGGTTGTTGGTTCATTCGCACTGTTATGAGACTGCACAGTTATAAAACGTAACTGGCAATCCTTCGATTGTTTTGATATTGGCAATACACCAGAACTGGATTGCCATTATTCCCATCTAAATTAAAATATTTATACTTAAATTATAGATGACTATAGATAAATACAAGAGTAAATTTATGTAAATAAGTATACCATCACCATCTTTTCTTCAAGTTCCATGTGTTTGTCATCAGAAATCTCCTCGACCAAGTTAGAAAATTTTATTTGTATGCCAATTGAAGCTGCAATAGGCCTAAAAGTTCTGAATTATTTAATAGTTGTTTTAATAAGCACAATTTCATTTATATTAATTTGTACAAACTGCGTTTTAACACAGGATGAGATTTTTTCCATAAATCATCTATTAAATCTACTGCAGCTCTAATTAAATCAGCGGTTTTATTTGTACTACCCCCAATGTTGAGATTGTCAAAAAACATCCTAAACTAGACTTTAACGCCACCATATATGTTCCATTTTTTAATTTATATAATGAATGATTTCAAAATGTGCTTCATCTGTTGTCGTAGAAATCATAATTTCAAATAGAGCCTTAATAATTTTACTATAGGGGAGATGGTCTCCAGAAGCCATATTAAGCCAAACAGATGTGCTATATAAACAATCAATACATAAAAATATTTGTATTGTTATATGAAAACAAACATCTTTTTAGGTAAAACTGATGTGCTTATAAATTTTTCAGTCTAGTTAAAATCATTACCGTATTCTGATCCTATCAAATTAAATAGATATATCTGTTCAAATGAATCCCAATCCAAAGCGCATGCTAATTTTAAACATTAAAAAAAAATTATTATATGAAAATAGTATAATTCAAGATGATTTCGCTAGATAACATGTATAGTTAATTAAACCAAGGATAGAATCTACGCCTTCGACGTTGCCGATAACCTTGTATTTTTGTTGTCTTAAATCAGTTTCAAATTTATAAATCTAATGTATGAATTAAAAAAGTTAATTTGATGTTTAATTTTTATAATACAAACACTTTACATACAATTGCAGGGTTTACTCCACTTGCAATTATGTAAATGAACCATGGAGTTCCAACGAAAATATTTGGCCAGAACTTGATGTACCTTTTCATGATCATCATCCTTTTTCCTTTTTGACGCACTTTCTTCGAATAAATTAAAAGTCACACTATTAACGTTTCCAGAATTTCCCGTAAACATTGGGTTACGAAGGTGAATTGAAGGTACAGTTGATCTACACTCATTTGGCGAGAAAATAGAAAAATGAGAAAAATGATAATCGCTTCGAAAACCCTAAAAAAAACTCAAAGAATTAACAATATCTAATTCCATTGCACTCTAAAAAAAATCCTATCAGATCAGTTTCTAGCCTTGAACTCAGACAACCTTCTAGATTACTTGAGCCCTGTGGGGCCAATGTTAGGTCAGTTTCTAGCCTTGAAATCAGAAGCTTTCTAGACCACCTGAGCCCTAACATTAGCTTCGTAGTTCACCTTCTAGATTTGAGGTCAGAAGCCTTTTAGACCCCTGCCGTACCACCAAATCAAATCCTTAAAGCCCTGCCACACTGCCAAATCCTTAAAGCCCTGCCACACACCAAATTCTTAAAGGTTCTAAACTTAACTTTCTATATTTTTTCGGGCAGGCTATATGCTTTTTGTTGTCTTTTGCTTTTTTTCTCATTAGCAATTTTTTTCCAGGGACCTAAGGTGTAGCCCTATTTTTTGATCGAACTGTTCCGCTTCACTTTCATTTAAGTCTAAGAAGTTCCATTTGGAAGACGCACAATCGAAAAATTCATGAACCTGTTGAACATGAATGGGGAGAAAGATAAAATTATCATTGTGTTAGACCTCCACGATAAAATCAATAAATTCTTGTGCCTCTACAGGCTCACACAGCGCTTCCGATATACAGGGAAATACAAGCAAAATTCCTGGAAAATCATTTTACTAATAAATCTATTT